CAGAGGAAACAGTTCAGAGATGGGCAAAGGTTTGAATATCAAGGGAATAAGATCAACTATGCCAGCTACCCCTGAAGGCTACTGACCCTGTTATCCGTCACGGAGACTTTGTTCTATGACTAAAGACATCACTTGCTAAATCCCAGTCATCCCTTAAAAATAGTTTAGAAAAGCCTATATATTGATAAATATATATATACTTTCTTATTTCATAGCCACATTGGGCTTTCAATCAAAAATATGATCCAGATCCTCCACCTAAGTTCCCTACTTCATTCTTCTCCAAAAGACATTTGGATCTAGCTCAAACTCTGATGTATAGTCAAAGGACAGAGATTTGCCACTTTGGAAGAAATTCTTTTAAGAAGACTTTGAAAGCAGGTCCAAAGAAGAACTTTCTATGGCAACATGGGTAAAATCAGTGCACAGCCTTCCAGGGGGACTGCCCTAAAGGGCAACACTAATTTGGGCTTTTAAGTGCTTCAATGCTTGTTAAAAAATTCCGCCTCTTAACTTTCAAGTTTCAGCTCACAGTGCTAAAAGTGTTTTCCTAAAGCTTCCATAAATTCTTCTTTCCCTTTGATACTTTAGCAATCCACCATTTCCTTCCCTATACAAACTAAGAGACATGTTTGTGGAAGAAAGGAGAAGAAAGGCAATTTCTCTGGTTCTTCCCTAAATAATAATGGCCCCCAAACATGCTTCCCAGGGCCTTGATGGGTGGGAGTTCTTAGAAGTGAATCTAACCAGACATTTGATTGATGTTTTTGCTCCCCCACCCAGCAATGATGAATAGTTTGAAAACTGCAGAAGCCAGGCATCTCCTTGGCACAGGGAATAATGCTGAGCAGCTTTATTTCCACCCTCCAAAGAGGTAAATGGCTTAGCGATAGCTGGATTTTGCTGACGAGGAAACTACTTATTCTCAATTGCAAAAGTCACCTTATTTTTAGAGGAATGACTGGAAAGGAAAGTGGTGAAGGCATACTGTTTTTGTGCTGGTCTTGGGGCTTGAACTCGGGGTTTGGGCAATGTCCCTGATCTTCTGTACCTAAGGCTACACTAACATTGAGCCACAGCTTCACTTCTGACTTTTTGGTGGTTAACTGGAAATAAGAGTCTCACAGACTTCCCTGCCCAGTCTTCAAACCTTGAAGCACAGATCTCAGCCTCCTAAGTAGCTGGGTGGCTCAAGCTGAGCTGGCACCCAGCTAAAGACACATTTTGGATTCACTTAGTTGGATTTGGTTTCAGTTCACTACTTGCAAATCCATCTTAAAAGACCTGTTGAAAGTCTTCAATGTTAAACTCTTGAGAAAGTGTAGAGCTCTGAGATGCTGCATTAGCTGAACAGGAAAACCTAGAATAGGCAAGATGGCACTGCCGAAATTGTCAATGAGTAACTGGTTATGTGTCAATGGCCAGGCCTCTCAATTTCAATTCAGATTCCATAGAGATATACTTGGTGGGGTGGTTCACAACTACCAAATACAGACTCTATAGAGAGTTACTGCTCTATTGGCCCACATGGTTTGATTTTTTTTAATTCCTCAGCTATATATCTCTTTATATTTGAAAGTGTAGAAAGCGCTATGTGACAGAGAAGATGAAGGAAAGGAATAATAGAGGGACTAAGAGAAAGGGAGAGGAGGAAGAAGAAGGGGAGAAAAGGAGAATGAAGAGGGAAAAAGAGAAAGAGAGCTCTTCTGAAAACTTCCATAGTATACCAAACATTCTGTAACAAAAGCCACATGGCTCAATGCTTCCCATCAGCTTCACTGCAAGGTAAGTAGAATCCTATGAGCTCAAACTCTGCCTGAGAGGGGCTGGGGTTGGGTAGAACATAATGAGATGCTTTTAAAGCCCTGCTAACTTTTTCCATTTTAACTGATCTTTCTGGATGAGGCACCAGCTCTCTTGGGAGGTCAGTTCTAAGGCATTCCATGGAACCCAAAGTCAGCTATAAAACACTAGCTTAGGGCCAGGCTGCCTGGGGGCAGAGCTGCACTTGTGTTTATACTTGCTTCAAGTTCAGGCTCAGAATGCCACAACTAAGAGAAGAGGCCACCTTTATATTCCTACAAGGATGCAATGATCTCAGAATCCTCTCTATCTCTTATACTTGAGAATCACAATTTCTTCATCATTAGTACTGAGAGACAATTACATCTAAGTGAAGTCTCAGAGGGTTTGAGTAAAGATACATGGAGCACATAGCCAGGTGGCAGCAAAGCTTGCTTTATAGTCAAGTGTGGTAGATCCCAAGCCCAAGGTTTCCCTTCTACACACAGTGTGTACCAGCACAGAGCAAGTCTCTGAGGTTGTGAAGGCAAATTAGATATAATTGCTACCCTTGGGAGCTCAAATAGAAAGCAAAGGTTTGGGGTATCTTAGGAAGTATCATAGGAAGTTTTGGGTATCAAATAGAAGTAATTCCATTTGAGTCACCTTGTCTTGGAGCATGCTCTTTCAGTGAGACTTTCCTTATATCTCAATACTTATGTTTAGGAAATGAGGACACATAGCTACTCTCAATTAAAGTGTATCTTTAAAAATGCCCAAAGATTTATAAAAATATTCTTAGGTTCTCAAGACTATGTCAACACAGTACATTCTTGCTGTTATTAATGGATAATAGCTGCCATGACATAGAACATCATAGAAATATGATACTCTGCATTAATGAAGTGAGTTTGGGTGGTAAGAAAGATGACCTCATACCAACTCTCATGGCATATATTGGTAGGGCTGGAGCAAATGAGGGTACAAACAAAATGTTGAAGTCCAAATGTCAACTTTGGCTATGCTAACACTACAAAAGGCTTAGTTGAATTACAAGAATGATGAGAGTGAAATAGAAGGAGAATCTTAGTATAAGATCTTAGTTCTCTGTATCAGATGCAGAGAGAACTGGGTAATAATCACTAGGTGAAAGAAAGCACCCACTCTATTGTTTGTTATCTAATGATCTGAATTCATACAGCAGTGTTACAGAGCTGCCCAGAAGTGGCCCAACCTCATCCTAAAGCAGGTACATCTATCCTGGGCAGTGTACACTGAGCAAAATGAAACTCTATCCCTGCTTCCCATGGGAGACTGCAGACGTGAGAGGGGGCTGTGGATTAGCGTGCCATGAAGAAGACTATGCAGAAAGAGATTCTCTTCAAGGTTCTATAAAGGCCTATGGAGTCTGTGGGGAACAATAAGAATGCAGAATACAAATGTAAGCTGAAAGCTGATGGGTCCATTAGGAATTAGGGCAGCCTTTGAAAGGAATCTGTGGAGATGATGCAAAACATCAAGCATGTGACCCAAATCATGGCAGGGCATATTGGAGAGAGAAGGGAATGGGAATGAGACAGTTTCTAATCTGATTAGTCTGAAGTTTCCCCCTGAGTGTGGAGAAGGGTCAGTGCATAATTAGAGGCAAAGTTAGACTGAACATGGTCTGCTCAGTGGCAGGGAGGGATGACCTCCTCAAAGCTAAACTGGGCTTGGAGGAGGATGTGTTCAGAGACTGAGACAATGCCAATGCAAGTTGCAGAACAGTCCTTTCACATTTAATGTCTAATTGTAAATGTAAAGACAAAACAGTCTGCTGAGAGAATAGGAGGATGGTGACTTGATGGCCTGTGCTCTGGAGAAGAAACCCTTAGATCCTCCAGAGGCCAGGTTCCTACATTACTGAGCTTTCCAGGACAACTTGTCCTCAAGCCTATGAAGAGATAATCTAATAAAGATCCACAGCTTCCTGACTAGAAGACAGCTTAATGTGTGAAAAGCATTCAGACCCAATTACTGGAAAACAAGGCTTCCTCCATAAACAAGTTAACAGGTTTCTTCCATTTCATTTCTAAGTCAGTCTGTGTGTGGGCTATGGTCCCTGACTTGAATTATCTCTTAGTCCCCAGTCAATACTTATTACCAGGTGCTGTACAAGGTACTTTATACATGTTATTTCCATTAGTCCTCAGAACTTCTCCGAAGCTAAATGCTGTTATTTCCGTCCAGAGGTAAGAAATTGGAGACCCAGACAGGTCAGAACTCTTGCACAAAATCACATAGCTAATAAGTGGGCTTAAAGAATATAAGAGACAAAGTAGGCAGATAAAATTGCTGTGACATGCAATGCACTGGCTCTTTATAGATAGTAAATCAAATAGGTGAGGAGAAAGTGTATGTATCTGAATGGCTCTAAAGGTCAAAACACAACTCTTCATTACAAGAAAAGGAACAGAAAGAGAAACGCAGTGTTGTGTAAATCCTTATAAGATAAACCCTGTGATCATTAGCCAAGCAAACACTACGTGGAGGGTTTCATGGATGTAGTGCCACTTGGAGAGGATCTTGAAGAAAGAGCTGGCTCTCAGCAGGTAACAAAATTTGGATGCTGTTTTCTACTAAAGAAATAACCAGAGAAAAGCCAAAACTATGGGGAGTACATACACAAGAAGTACATGTATGACATGCTGGATAGTCCATTTCATTATAGGGGAAAAGGCAAGAATGAAGATGCAATTACTATAGAGAATCTTCACTCCTGGGTCAGCCTACTTCATCTCAGATCCATTAAGTAAGATGGCTTACTTATCTTTCCCATTGCTACCAGAAAACATTAATACCTATGTATTAATGTCAAAAAAACATGAAATACTAATTCATGATAGGCTTTGTAACAGGTAAGATCATGGTAACTTTTCCTTTTATAAGACTTCAGGAAAAACTGGGAGAGAATGAGGGAGGGAGTGACACTGTTCAAGAGAAAATGTACTCATTACCTGGCAATAACCCCTCTGTATATCACCTTTACAATAAAATTTAAACAATTTTTAAAAAAGACTTAAAAGGACATATCATCACTGATATAATCAAAACAATCAAGGGTAAATCAATGGTAAATAAAAGTATATTAGATTCAATTAAAAGTAAATTCAAGCAGAAACAGTCCCCAAAACAAAATGTACGCAACAATTCTCATCAAGAAGGGATCTTTTGCTTACCTGGATAGTAACTCTACAAGAAGTTCATCACTCAAAGGGAGCCTGGAAGACTTACATATCCTTTTGACATCTATGGTAGGTAATACATGTTTTCTGCATTAAAACAAAGTAAAGTGGGTTTTACACATCTTTACACATTGTTGCTCATGTGTTCCATGAGCAACAATTATATGGTATAGGAAAGAAAACAGAAACATAACATATCCTGAAAATGTACACATGAAGGTATGCATGAAAACTGATATTGGAATGTTCCACAAGGAAAAACAGTAGTATTATATTTCACCAACTTTTTCCAATTCAGAGGTCACTAGATTTCTCTCCTTACTATGGGCTTTCTATCAAGATCCAGATCCAGATATTTGGTTGGTGATAATGCAGGCCTATTTAGGCTGTATCCATGAGTGTTGCTCTCAGTAATTGATATGCATTCTTGACCACTAGTCAGAAATGGTGCTGATATTTGAAAACATCTTCTAAATTTGACATGCATTTAGAGCATCCAACACAAGTATAATATGACTTGGGGGTGTTTTTAGGTCTTTTTCTTGGACCCGAACCCAACTGGGGCCTTAACATTCCCTTCAATTTTGTGAGATGCAAATCATTTTCTCTAGAGGAGGCCCAACATTCATTTTCCCCAGCCTGTTGGCAGACTAGAAATGCTTGTCAAATACTCAGCCAATGTTCTTTGAGACACTACACCAAATTGTAACCCAAAGGAAACAAATTGGCCTCTTTTCTTTGCAATGAGAATGTTGTTTACAATCAAAGCTTATTAGATCTAGATGAGCCCCAGGCTGTCTTATCAAGCAGCCCTAATACTCTCCAGAAGTATTTCTTTAGTGAGGGAGGATTATATCTCTCACCCTGGTGGAAGACACAGCCAAGGTTATGCAAAGCTCAGGCCACGTATTCTCCAGTAGGCAACAAGGAAGTTTAAAGAGTCAAAGAAAAATTCAAATGTCATAATAACTCAATAAAGATGCATTATGAATTCGAAAAATAATCACGTGTCCTTTTAAGGTAAACTATGATTTGTGAGTGTGTGTCAGTCCTGGGGCTTGATCTTAGGGGTTTGGCACTGTCCCTGAGCTTCTTTTGCTCAAGCCTAGCACTCTACCACTTGAATCACAGCACCACTTCCCACTTTTTCTGTTTATATGGTACTGAGAAATCGAACCCAGGGTTTCATGCATGCTAGGCAAACACTCTACCACTAAGCCATATTCCTAGTTCATCGCTTTATTACTTTTAAAAAACAATTTCTAAGAATTTCTGTAGATTGTTTGTTTCCAAGTTTCTTGTTCTGTGTATTATCAAAGTCACATTTATAAGTCCCAGGTAGTACTGAAATAATGTGAGATGGCATCTCAGTATTAAAATTCCCTAACCTCTTGTTTCACTGCATGTTTCAGTTGAAAGCTTATTGAAGCAAATTCACATGCCAGGAGCAGCTTATTCTTTTAAAGATATAGGGCCTGTTCTATTCCTCTCTTATTTCCTAATGTGTTTGCTGAATAGTTGAGTATCATAAGACATGCCAGTTTACTTTTAGACCTTTTGGATGATATGCATTTCTTTCATTACTCAGGCTCACATCAACTTAAATGATCTATTAAAATAAAACAAAGCTTACTTTGCTCGATCTTCATACAAACAGGTAGCTAAGAGCCTGTCAAAATTCTCAAACATACTTTTCTTGAACTTTTCATGGACCTGGGACATTAACGTAGTCAAATCTGTATCATCAGCAGAAGCCAAACGGTAGTGACGAGCAACAGTTATGATTTCCTGGTCTACAAGCTTCCCAGTAGTTATATCTATCAATATGTCTCTGCAAAGAAAATGGAAAAACACAGTAACATCTAAGAATATTTTACTTTCTTCTACTAAAAAATGTCCAAATTCCATTTTATAGAACTTTTGCCAACTGTGTAGAGGATACATGGCTACTATTCTTTATTTTAAAGAGCAGCAGGAAGGCACTAATGCCATTTTATAAATGAAATGCTTTTCTCCCACTTTGATAGCAGCATGCCACCAAGAAGTAAACTGTTAAAGTCCTTGAGTAGTCAAAATACTTGTCACTAACTACATGGCTTTATTCAATATCTATTAGACTTCCTTATAAGAAATAATAGCTGACATGAATTTCCATTTTCCAAGGACCCCAAATTTGTAAGTCAATAATCTACAAAGGTGTTTTGCAGATAGGAAAATAATCTGATCTCTTTTGTAATCAAAAGTAAAAACTGATGCCTGCATCAGAAAGAATGGCATAGCCCCATTTGTTAGGAAATGGAAAGACTTGGAAAAAAATTATATCAAGTGAAGAAAGCCAGGCCCAAAGAAACATAGGTCCCATGGTTTCCTTTATTTGCAATAACTAGTATATGTCTAGGACAAGGAGAAAAGGTCAAAAGCTATGTACATATGACCATATAAGATGATGTCAAGTGAAATGAACCCCAAGATAGGGACACAAGTGTTTTTTTTCTTTCTTGCTATTGTTTCTAATGTATTTATAATGTACCATGTGATCTTTGTGTTTCTTTGTATGTTCCTCCCCCATGGTATAACCCCTGTTTTCACTGTATTTGATGTGGGTGCCCTGTATCTTGTATATACACTTCTCTAATTTGGGAAGAGAAGGAGAAGAGAGAAAACAAAATGCTTAAATAGGGATACAGATTGACCCATTGTAACAATGATACTATGTTGAAAAACAAAGTTTACAATTTAGGGGTGGGGAGTGAAGTTGTGGAGATAGGAGGAAAGGAACGGTAGGGGTAAAACAAAGGAGGAGGTAACAATGCTTGATAGGAAATGTACTCATTATCTTGCTCATATACTTATGTAACTGTAGCCCCTCTGTACAGTATTTTTACAATATAAAACATATTAAAAATAAATTTAAAAAAGTAAAAACTGGTCTGGGCGCTGGTGGCTCAAGCCTATAATCCTAGCTACTCAGGAGGCTGAGATCTGAAGATCACAGTTCAAGGCCAGGCTGGGCAGGAAAGTCCAAGAGACGCTTATCTCCCATTAACTACCAGAAAACCGGAAGTGACACTGTGGCTCAAGTGGTAGAGCACTCACCTTGAGCTGAAAAACTGAGGGACAGTACCCAGGCCCAGAGTTCAAGCTCCACACTGACAAAAAATAAAGTAAAAACTGATCTGGACATTGGTGGTTTACACATGTAATCCTAGCTATTCAGGAGAAGCTGAGATCTGAGGAATGTGGTTTGAAGCCAGCCTGGGCAGGAAATTCTATGAGACTCCTATGTCCAGTTAACTACTAGAAAGCCAGAAGTGGAACTATGGCACAAAGCAGTAGACTGCTAGCCTTGAGCAAAAAAGCTCAGTGACAGTGCTCAATCAGAGTTCAAGCTCTGCTCCATGACACACTTACACACACAAAGAATAAAAACTGATACAGCCTGGCAATGAGGAATAAATAAAGAGAAATGTTAAAAGGGCTATCTGGAACTGTAACTATCTGAGTTTCCAGGAGACAAACAGCTTTGTGATTATTTGGCAAAGCTTAAAAAAATGGTAACAGCAACATATTGAGAGGACCCAAAGACTAAAACATTGATTGTATTGCTTCTAATTTATTTACTGTATGAATATTATAGATTATACATCATGCATTAGGCAGAATCACATTGAAATGATAAAAACACAAAACACTATAGTGCTTAAATGAATAAGGTCCCACCAAAAAATCTACTTAACCAGAAATATTTCTGTTTCCAAGACTCAAAAATAAGCAAGGGAAAAATAATATTTTATTTGCTCTTGTATTATTGACCAGTCTTCTAAGAAGAATGGTTTTACTTCTTTTTGATAATTCATTAACATATTTAATCATTCTAGTTTACTCAGGAGAGCATCTAGGAAATTCTGTGATGTTATCCTATCCACAGGGATTACATTTTTGCCAATATCTACTTTTCTTATTTTTCAACGTTCAGGTTTGGGTTTTAGTTTACAATTTTTTATTGTTGCTGTTCTGTGTTGTGCCAGAACTGGGGCTTGAACTCTAGTCTTCACACTCTCACTTGGCATTTTTCCTCAAGCCTGGTACTTCACTACTTGAGCCATACATCCATTTCTGGTTTTTTGCTAGTTAATCAGAGATAAGTCTTGAGGATATTACTCAGATTGACTTCAAACCTCAGTCCTCATATCTCAGCCACCTAAGTAGCTAGGATTATGGATGTGAGCCACCAAAACCCATCTTTGGTTTTAATTTTTTAATGGGAAATGAAGGCTAACTTAAACCAAGAGAACTGCACAATTTCAGAAAGTCAGGTCAAATAATTAATCTGTAATATTGACAAAGGCTCACTCTGTAGACTGTAAAATGACACTTCAGTACCTGAACTTTTCAGAGTCTATACTACATCAAGCATTCAACTGTACTCTCAAAATCAAAAGAGTGGAAGGGCCAATTGACTGAAATGAATAATATCAGTAATAAACTCTACTATTTACTGAGAAGTAGCTACATGTAAAGTCATGTGTTGCTAGGTACCTTTGACATGGAACATCTCTTTTTTTGTGGGGGGGGGGGAGTGGAGGTCCAGTCATGGAGTGTAAACTCTGGGCACTGTCCCTCAGCTCTTCAGCTCAAGGCTAGCGCTCTAACACTTGAGCCACAGTGCCACTTCCGGCTTTTTTTCTGCTTATGTGGTGCTGAGGAATCGAACCCAAGGCCTCATGCATGTGAGGCAAGTACTCTACCACTGAGCCAACTTCCCAGCCCTGGAACATCTCTTCTGACCTAGCAGATAGGTACTGTTGTTATCCTCATTTTACAGATGAAAAAAAGTGAGGCATAAAGCTGTTTAGTAATTCATTTTAGGTTTCCAGCTCCAAAATGTGAAGCTATATAGTGTGACCTCAAATCCTCTGCTCCTACATACTTCTCTAGTTCCCCTGTTCTGCTGGGAAAGAAGATGGAATAACTGGGTAGCATGGGACTTGGCAAAAAAAAAAAAAAACTCTTTAAGGGCCATGGGATTGGAGCTGATTATTTTGTAGATCTCTCTTCTCTTTGCTGTCCATACTATGGTGGGAATATATCCCCCCAAAAATTCACATGTTGGAAAATTCATGTTAATGGTATTTAGAGGTGGGAACTTTGGGAGGTAATTAGGATTAGAAGAGGTCATCAAGGTGGGACACTTCCACCTTATGGTGGCTTTAGTGGTTTTGTAAAAGGAGAATGAGAGCCCTAAGCTAGGCAGCTTGCTCTGTTCCTACTCTGTCCAACATGTTATGATGCAACAAGGCCCTCATCAGATACCAGGATCATGTTCTTTGACTCCAAACCTCCAAAACAGTGAGCCAAAGGTACTTCTATTCTTTGTAAACTACCTATCTCTAGCATTTTGTTACAGCAACAGAAATTGTACTGAGATTGTTCATTACCTCTGCTTTGTGGACTATCATTAGCCAGCACACACACAAAAAAAGAACATAATTTTTAAAAGCTTGAGTAACCATCTCTGACGGAGCACTGACCACACAGTACATACTGTAAGGACAGCCCCAGGCTTTCAGTATTTGTCATGGAATAATCAGCTAAGACTATGCATAAAATGGAACACCCTACCATCATTACTAAAATGTAGATTTGTATTTATTGGTATAAAAAGATTCATGCTATGCTGATCCTAGTGAAACTCAAGATACAAGTACATGTATAGTCATACAAAAAAGAGCTTGATACAGATGGCTCAAGCCTGTAATCCTAGCTTCTCAGGAGGCTGAGATCTAAGGATCACAATTCAAAGCAAGCCCTAGAAGAAAAAAAAGCTGTGAAACTCTTATCTCTAGTTAACCAGAAAAGAGCCAGAAGTAGAGCTGTGGATCAAGAGAGAGAGTGAAAAACCTAAGGGACAGCACCAAGTCCTTGAGTGTAAGCCCCAGCACTGGCATAAAATAAATCAAACAGGAAGAAAGGAAAGAGGGAAGGAGGGAAGGAACGAAGGAAGGAAGGAAGGGAGGAAGGGAAGGAGGGTGGGAGGGAGGGGGGAAGGGAGGAAACAGAATTATCTAGGCCAAAATATCGACAGTAATGCCCGTAATTGCAGAGATTTATTTCTTTTCTGAAACCTATTTGTACTTTTTCTGGGTTTTTCTAATAATCAAAGTCACACTTCATAGTCACAAAGAAAAATCACGTGAAAGCTTCTTCCTTTCTTATCTTCAACCAATGTGAACAGAGCATGTGGCACATTATCAAGGATGAGGATAAAAAACATGTGCATCACAACCATGTTCAGCGCAGCATTATTCACCATAACTAAGATATGGAATCAACCCAGATGCCCCTCAGTAGATGAATGGATCAAGAAAACGTGATATATATATATATATATATATATATATATATATATATACATACATACATATATAATGGAATTCTATGCCTCCATCAGAAAGAACATCACCCCATTTGTTAGGAAATGGAAAGACTTGGGAAAAAATATACTAAGTGAAGTAAGCCAGGCCCAAAGACACATAGGTCCCATGGTTTTCCTTATTTGCAATAACTAGTACATGTCTAGGACAAGCAGAAAAGGTCAAAAGCTATGTACATATGACCATATAAGATGATGTTAAGTGAAATGAACCCCAAGATAGGGACACAAGTGGGCTTTTTTCTTTCTTGCTATTGTTTTTAATGTACTTTTAATGTACTATGTGATTCTTTTGTTTCTTTTGTATGTTCTTCCCCCATGGTGTAACCCCTGCTTTCACTGTATTGGATTCTGGTGTCCTGTATCTTGTATATACATTTTTATAATTTGGGGAGGGGAAGGGATATAACAAAATGTTGAAATAAGGATACAGGTTGACCCATTATAACAGTGAGATGTTCAAGATGCTATGTTGAAAATGAACTTTACAATTTCACTTTACAATTTGGGGTGGGAGGGAGGAGATGGGGAGGTAGGGAGGAAGGGATGGTAGGGGAAAAACAAAGGAGGAGGTAACAATGCTCGATAGGAAATGCACTCATTACCCTACTCATGTAACAGTAACCTCTCTGTACAGTATTTTTACAATAAAAATATATATGAAAAAAACATGTGCATCAATAACTAGGAACTTTCTGTACAACTTTAAATTTATAATAGCACTGCCAGATCCTACCTTTTCATCGGGCAAACTGAAAATATGCTTGCATCAGTGCAGTTAAAATTTGTATCTGCTGTGTTTCTATATATTTTTAAGGGGGAAAACAGTTCCATATTCAACAGCATTACACAGTTTAACATGAGACCTTCAAACAAGCCATGTCACACTGAAAACTGTCACCAGTTGTGGGGGACACCAGAGGTGCCACAAGACTGCTTACAAGGCATGACCTCAACTGGCACATCTAATCCTTACCTTGCAGCCCTCAAATGGCTGTTGCTACTTTGCCCTGAATTTGCCATGAGTTCCTTCTTGAGGAGTTACTATTCCCTGTCAGATCTTATTGGGCTTCACAAAGAATTGGCAAGCTTTTCAGCAGTAATATACTTCTTTTTTGCCAGTCATGGGACTTGAATTCAGGGTCTGGGTACTGTCCCTAAGCTTCTTTTGCTCAAGGCTAGCACTGTACCACTTGAGTCACAGCACCAGTTCCAGCTTGTTTTTTTTTTTTCTGTGTATGTGGTACTGAGGAATTGAACTCAGGGCTTCATACACAGTAGGCAAGCACTTTACCACTAAGCCACATTCCCAGCCCTATACTTCATTTTTTAAAATTGTAGTGAAATATACATAGCATGAAATTTACCATTTGTGACACTGGCAGTATTGTGAAAACACTACCTTTATCTAGTTCCAAAGCATTCCATCAGTCTAAAGAAATGTCATGCCCACTAAGCAGTTCCTTTCCTTCCTTCCCCCAGTCCTCTCCACTGCTATCTCTGATGATTTGAAAATTCTTGGAATTTTAGATAAATGGAATCATATGTGGTCTAACTAACTTCTTTCTGTTAGCACAATGCTTTCAACATACAGCTATTTTGTGACATGTATAAGTACCTTGTTTGTTCTTTTTATGTCAGATTAATATTACATTGAATGACTATATCACATATTACTTACACATTTGTGCAGAAAGACATCTTGGTTATGTTGCCTTTTGACTATTGTGAATTGTGTTGCTATGATTTGTGTACAAGGTTTTTGTTGAATGCCTGTTTTCAATTCTTTAGGGTATCTGTGTGTAGGCACACTCTCTCTCTCTCACACACACATACTGAAGAGTGAAAAATTTGTGGTTCTTCAGTAGATTAAACAGAATTACCACAAATTTTTCTGCATACTCCACTTTGCTTAGCAGAATAAAAACAAAAGTTCAAGTTCTATCAAGCATAGCCCTTGAGAGTAAATAATAAGATCTGCCATTAACATATATCTTCTTGTCTAATCTCTTAGGATGAATGAAATTATACTTTTAAATAAGCTACAAATTACACTGATCCAGGCTGAAGATGTGGCTCAAGTGTTAGAGACTACTTACCTAGCAAACAACAAATTCAAATCCAATCTGTCCTCCAAAAAAGAAATTATGCATGTAAAAAGGGGTGGGACTATGGCTTGGTGATATAACACCTGCCTAGCAAGTGCAAGGCCATGAGTTCAAACCCAGTACCACAAAAAAGTACTGATCTTTTGCTCACTGAATAATATTAATGTTAAAGATTCCAGTGTTATTACTTTGTCTTTGTCCAACATTACCTCACATTGGTAAATTTATATAGTATATTGTACATTTATTATATTGTAAAATTATTAGATAATCTTATAACATATGCTTAGTTAATATTATAAATTATTTTTTTACGAGATTGAAAAAAATGTCCATCCTCTATGACCCATCTTTCACTCTTTAGTAGCCTTACTGCACTTCTTGCTCCCCTCAAACAGGTCAAATTATGTTTCACCTCACAGCCTTTACACTTGTTGTTTCTACTATTTAGATTTCTCTTCTTCAACAAAGGTACACAGTACAGACCTCTATCTCCTATAGGGCATCTTTTCTGCTTATATATCCGCTTCTCCATTAAAGCATTCCCTAACCAGCCTTGTTAAAAGTATGAGCCCTGTTTCTATAACCGTTACTCCTTTCCCGCTTTCTTTTCTTCAATGACATTCATCATAATTTACTAGAAAATTCCTTATTTTACACATCATCTTCATGTTCCCCCATCCCCAGAAGAAACTTCCACCTAGGGTAAGGCTGAGTTGTCCTATTTTGTTCACTGTAATACCATAAATAGTGTAGTCTCTAGAACAAAGCAAGCTGAATAAAAGTTTGCCAAATAGATGAAAAACTGAGGCTATGAAAAGCATTCAGTATAGTGCCTGGAACTACGAATACTCAATAAATGAGAGCAGTTTTTATTTTCGCCATCTCACAAGGGAGATCATATCAAGTTGTTTTAAAGACTTTAAAGAAGCAGAAGTGCGCGCCAGTCCCGCGGATCTGTGTCTTGCTTCAACAGTGTTTGGATGGAACAGACCCTGGGACTCCTCCTTTCCACCACCAACTGCCTCTTCATTCACCACCTCTGACCCTGATCTTCTCGCCCATTGCCTGCTTCCAGGACCAACCAACGTCGTGTTTTTCCGTGGTTACCTCTGTATCCATGACCAGCCATGACCTCCCAGATTCATCAGAATTATTCCACCGAGGTGGAGGCTGCTGTCAACCGCCTGGTCAACTTGCATTTGCAGGCCTCCTACACCTACCTCTCTCTGGGCTACTATTTCGATCGCGACGATGTGGCTCTGGAGGGCGTGGGCCATTTCTTCTGCGAGTTGGCAGAGGAGAAGCGTGAGGGCGCCCAGCGCCTCCTGAAGATGCAGAACCAGCGCGGCGGCCGCGCGCTGTTCCAGGATGTGCAGAAACCTTCTCAGGATGAGTGGGGTAAAACCGTGGAGGCCATGGAAGCCGCCCTGGCCCTGGAGAAGAACCTAAACCAAGCCATTTTGGATCTTCATGCCATGGGTTCTGCTTGCACAGACTCCCATCTCTGTGACTTCCTGGAGAACCATTTCCTGGATGAAGAGGTGAAGCTCATCAAGAAGATGGGCGACCACTTAACCAACCTCCACAGGCTGGCGGCCCCTCAGGCAGGAATAGGCGAGTATCTCTTCGAACGACTCACCCTCAAGCACGACTAGAAAACACGAGAGTCCAGCAGCCTTTGAGGGCCATCTCTGCCTTGCCAGATATCAGGGTTTCCGCCCGAGCTTCTGCCTCTAGCCATTGGGAAACTTCCTAACTAACCATCCTGGAGCCCATCCCCAGCCTTGTATCAAATGAAAATAAAGCTTTTTGCAGCAAAAAAATATAAATAAATAAAGAGTTTAAAGAGTGGCTTCTTTTCAGTTTACTTTGGAGGAATTGGACATGTATTTAATGACTAAGAAACCTTAAATTTTCTCTACAGAATGTAAAAGGAAAATGGTCCACTTATTTTCAAAAGTCCTATTCAGGAATAAGTCTGAAGTGATTAAAAAAAAAAAAAGCTCCAGGTGAGTCTTCTTTATAAACTGGATACATCTCAAAAGTTCCACAAACACTCCATTTTTAGAAATCAAATCAAATGCCCTCTTTCATACTCAGTTACACAGAAAAATACATTATCTTCATTTTGGTCATTTTTAATTGGCAGTGGTACAGAACATCTTAGCTGTAAATTCCTCTCGTTTCTCTCAAGTTCCTGATGACAAATCAGCACACTGAACCCTAAAAATAAATTCTTTTGAAATGAAAGAATCTTATGACAGTATAATTACTGCCGAATTCATCTGCTTTGTAAATTGGTTTTTTGATATATTTTCTAAAAGAGAAGTACATCAGCATTGAAAGCCATTGACCCTATTTTTTCCAAATTAAATGTAAATGATATCTTGTTTTCTTTTTATTACTACTCTAACCTTCAATTTGCATCAAATACTATTTTTTTTCTGATTTTGACATGTAGTACAAGGTACATAGTCATTTTAATTCACTTAGCTTGAAATTCAGAATGGCCTGTTGCACTCGATTTTGGGCTATTTGAGTCTAGCCAAACAGAAAGATTTTCTTATGTAGGTAAGAGCAATTTCTGTACATTATTAACAGTCTACTCCTCATAGTAGTATAATTTTAGACATCCGTTAAACTTGAGGTAACATGCATTTATAAAACCTCAAATACCAGTGAGTGTTTTTGTTTCTTAAATTGTATCAATATTTTTGGAGGGGGTTAAGCAAATGTAAGTCTCAAAAACAAGTTGGCAATGTTGGGAGAAAGGAGCAAAAATGTATCTCATTTTAAATAGAGTTCTTCATTTTATATAACATTATTTTTTACTAATACCTATCCTGTGCTCAGGGCTGTTGGTAGAACTTTTATTAAGACAGGGTCTCACTATGGATCCCAGGCAGGCCTTGAATTTACAACCCTCTTGCCTCTCACTCACAATTGCCATTACATTTGTCTTTGTAACTTTCTGTTTTTAACTTTCTTATTTGGTTGCCAGATGTTTTTGAGGCTTATAAGATCATGCTGAGTTCTGAAACCATTAGAGAATCTTACATGTAGAATAATCCCATATAAACCCACTGGTTCTTAGGTCACACATAGACTGAATGCAAGATGGGAGTGTGCACCTTTGGGTGCTTATAATCAACTTTGAAACTCAAAACTCTATCAGATTCTTCACTCATTTTAATGACACACTTTAAAATGGATAACTCACTGTTTTTTGTTTTTTATTTTAATTACTTTATTGTTGTTTTAGAGGGGATATATACAGTGGGGTTACCTTTATATACAACAGGTAATGAGTAAATTTCCTTCCTTTTGCATAGCATCATCTGTTCCCTCATTCTCTCCATTCCCTCCCTCCCATCTCCATCCATGAGTTGCGTGGTTCACTTTCATCAATGTCCAGCAAAATGGAAAACTTATTATTCTTAATAAAAGTAATTCATTTCCAATTATAGAGAATTTGGATAATATATAAAAACAATATTTTAAAAAGAGGAGCTGAGGGGAGTTGGCTTACTGGTAGCATCACTGCACCTGGCCTCATTTACCTTTTTGTGAAGTGGTTTTGCTTGAAATTTACATATATAAGTATGTATATGTATGTTCATATATGAAACCAATCATAATGGTAATTATGGTTTTAATTCTTTTTTTTTGGGGGGGGGTCCGTTTGTGGGGCCTGAACTCTGGGCGCTGTCCCTCAGCTCTTCAGCTCAAGGCTAGCACTCTACCACTTGAGCCACAGCGTCACTTCTGGCTTTTTTCTTTTTGCTTATGTGGTGCTGAGGAATCGAACCCAGGGCGTCAGGCATGCAAGGCAAGCGCTCTACCACTGAGCCACCTTCCCAGCCCCTGGTTTTAATTCTTTAAGATGCCCCTCCTTTGAGTTCCTCATTTGTATTGCTTTATTCATGCTTTGCATCAATGTACTAAAGTAATATGTTTCTTTGAGCAATTTACAAAAAATATATATTTTTTAAGTTTTCTTGCAGATTTGAAAGCATTTCCAATGACCCATGTACAAAAAAACAACTCATCCCCAGTTTGTTTACCCTCAAAGCACTGAAAATTTGATCCAGTTCTTCCTTGCATTACCTGAGGCCACTTTTGGTTTACAGGTCACTGGTGCTGCTGCTAGTATATTTTTAAAGTTTGTGTGTGTGTGTGTGTGTGTGTGTGTGTGTGTGTGTGTGTGTGTGTGTGTGTGTATCCACTTTTCTTTGATGTTTATAATAATGGTTTCTTTGATAGCTCTTTTTTAATTTTTACCAAGGTGTATTTAGTCATCTCTTTCCATATATTTTTGTTTGGAAAAATGAATTTTCTCAATTTCTAGATCCTTTTTTAAGTTTAGAAAAAGATTATGTGAAGAGCTGTGAGTGTAGCTCTGTGGTAAAGCACACACTTAGATGAAAGAGACTCTGGGCTCAATCCAGACCACCACTCTTTCCAAAGAAACAGATAAATAAAAAACAAGGATTTTTTTTTTTAGAAAATCTCTGACTTTAGTTGTATTTCTTCAGTTCCCTCTCTACCACCATTTCTGCTCTCTTCTTCCTCATTGCTTCAACCCCTTTCTTATTTTGTTCTGGGAGTATTTCTGAAGATAGTTCTCTAGTTTACTACTACTGAGTTTTTTCCATGTCTGGTCTCCTGTTAGTATCTCCTGTTAACTTTTAACTCAGAAAATAATGTGTTCTGTAGGTTTTGAGAACAAGTAGTTCCCTATTTTGGTCTGTTTGCTTCTCAAAAATGGTCAGTGCTTGCTGAGACATACATTCTCTTATGGTCATAACACAACTAGTTTCTAAGAATAAACAAACTAAAACCATTTTTTCCATCCAATAAACCATGTTTGGAATCTGCATGAGAATCCAGACTTAAGTTTTTCCTGTTTGTGCAACTTTACAAAAAGGTCAGTAGGTTCGTCTGGGTGTTGGTGTGTGGCTGGCAGTTCACAAATCTCACAGGCTCTGTCAAAGATGTGATGTATACACATATTTGTGTGTGCATGTGTTTATGTGTAAGTGTGGAGAATTATTAAGGAAAGGAGAAGTTCAATCACTTCTAGGAGCCAAGTCAATATGAAAAGAAGGTACATTTACTTAAGAAAGCAGGAAAGACAAGCTTTTCATTTGAAGACCAAGAAGTCACATTTGGTTTGGAGATTTAGAAAGAAAACCAGAGCATAAATGGAGAGTAAAGGTGAAAAACCTTTCCAAGCCCTGGCAGCTCATGCCTATAATTCTAGCTACTCAGGAGTTTGAAACCTAGAAGACATTGGTTCAAAGCCAACGTAGGCAGAAAAAGTCTGAGAGATTCTATCTCTAATTTATCAGCAAAATGACAGACTGGCAAAGTACCAGCCATGGGCTGAAATATTGAGCAAGAACATCAGGCCCAGCGCTCAAGCCTCAGAACTGGCATTTTTAAAATAAGTTTAATAAGTTGTGAGAATACTGTACAGAGGAGGGATTACAGTTACATGAGCAAGGTAATGAATACATTTCTCATTTTTTAAATATATATATAAATACATACATAAAGTAAATACATAAATACAATAAAGAGACTAATAACCTAAGCATTGACAAAGAGTTCCAAGGGGATCTCCATGTCCCATGTCTCCAGAGGCCTGTCATTCACAATCGGCAGCACAACCCTTAGTGGTAGCTCTTGGGTCTGTGCTCTTCTAGGTACTTTTAGGGACTCCTCAGCCAAGACACAAATCAGAAAAGAAGAACATGAAGTCCAATAGTGAGTAAATCATTTACATCCTTGTTCAAATATGAAGAAGGAAAATTTCTTAAATTTTCATCATGATCTATTTTTGGATTTGTTTGGGGACTTCTATGAAGTTTGGTTGAGAGTAGTCCTGGACTGAGAAATACATCACTTATCAGAAGTTGCAGCTACAATGTAGGCAAACCATCTGACTACATTTTGACAGTGGCTGGAACTTTTTTAAACTGTGCAATGTCAGTAAGAAATCATTTTCAGTCCAGATAATACAATGAGAACTTGTTCCTGGCTCTTTATTTTAAAAACACTGTGCTTAAAATCCATGTAATGAATCCTAGTGTGTAACCACAGAGCGTCAAATCTAAATCTAGCAGTTTTTAAAGTAATAGAAGAAATCTTGATGGTGATAGTTTCCTCTATAAAGCCTATGTGGCTCTGAATCAAATAATTAAAGTAAATATGCTCATCTATTAAGTGTTTTATATTTTACTTATAACAAAAATAAAGGAAAACTGAGCATGAGTGAATTAAGATCAAATAAAAGCTGATATCAGACACAAACCTAATTTTCCTGCCACCTCAGAGCCTAGCCAAATTCACTGCTGGGTATAGAGAGGAGAAGATGAGCATCCCTTGCAGGTCTGATGCATATACCTTCCCAAGCCAAGAATTGTCCCTCTCAGGGTCTACTACGTAGGATGCTAATTTGTTGCAACAGTGACTAGCTACAACCACTGCTATTTCATTTTCAGATAGCTGCAAGGTCAAATGAAGCCTGCATTGTGGCATCAGGGGTCTGTGCCTGGGTAGGGCATTAATTCTGCTCAGAATCATTTCCTCTCATCTGTGATCTATTGCCCCACTTCCCTGAATATTTCATGTTCTCTGCACCCTTTCCTGTGTGATTCTGATATTCAAACCTCTAAAGGAGCACAATTTCTTCCTGCTTTCTAATAGTGGGGTCAGGCATGGTGCTTATTTTGGCCAATATAAGGATGTAG